TTCTGAGAGTTTCTGCTGGTAGCTTCTTGGTTAAAAAAAAAAAATGAATCCTGGATCTTTTGTACAAAAATAATCTCCTGTTCAGTTAACAAACACCCACTGTGTTTTTACCTGCGAAGCTGTTAGGCAAGCTATCTACTGCCCAGGAAGATCAGAGCATGTCCATCTGTGCCTAGTAAAGAGCAGAGGCTAGTTCATGATAACAGTAACACCGAGGGCCACGGGAGCGTCAGGAAGGACTTCTAACTCAGATGTGGGTCTCTCCGATGCAGTCCTGGAAATAAGGGGTCAACTGAAGAACTGAAAAATATTGTGGGTACATCCAGGACAAGGAAGGAATTTCCTAAGTGAGGACCCAATGGGAAGTAGCCACAGAGAGCTACAGGCATCAAAGACAATCCCATTTAGTTGCAGTGTGGGATCCTGTCTCTGTGACTTTGATCCTAAAGCTAATACCAACATTAGCTCAGGTCCCTGGGATGCTAGAGAGGGTGAATAGAGGGAGGGTATGGAGGTGATAAGGGTCAGGCTCTGGGTGGACATGCCTAACTGGGGCCACCGGGCTGCATATGTCACTCCCATTTGAAACCATCCCCGTCTAATATCACAAGTTTAGGAATGCTTGCTCAAGGTCTCCGGGGAAAGGCTTGAGATGGAACTTGGAAAAAATACTTCAATGGTGCCACTGATGGGTTAGTGCCCTGCCCAAACACATTCTAGTTTTGAGTATACTAGGCTGGTAGAACAGAACCTTGACCGAAAATGAACCAATGTGGGAAGAACACTTGCCACAAAATCAGGCTGGAGCCCCGTGGGCCACTGCACCTGTCACTCATTTGATCAAACACAGGAAAGCCTTCTATGTACCGTGAAACACGCTAGAGGTTGGGAACAGAGGGGCAGGACGAGTCCTCCCCCTCAAGGGACTCAGAGTCTGCAAAAGGACGTCGTAAGTATGCTGAAGACACACTACCTTATAGTAAACGCAATCCTAAAGCAGAGTGTCCAGGGTGGCCACAGAGGAGGTCAGCACTAGGCAGGGACAAGGGCAGGCCGTCTGAGGAGTGTGACACCAGAATGGAGCCCCACAGGGCAAACAGCTGGTGAAGAAGCAGGGTCAGGCCTTCCCGGCAGACAGCTTTAGCAGGTGCAAAGGCAGAGAATGGCGGCTTATTCAGAGAGCAGAATGACGAATGCATAGGATGGGGATGGGGATGGGGGAGGTTTCCATAGTAACCAGTGGCTGGACCGTGAAGTGCCTTGCATGCTATGTTAAAACGCATACAGTGGGAGAAGAACAGTCCACGGTATCTATAGGCTTCTGGCCCAGGGGACTAGAGGAAAGGTCTGTTAACCAGCACGAGCAAACAGTTTGAGTGGGAAGCGGAGTGCAGCGGGGTGTGAGGAGCTGGGGAGAGTAGAATGGGGGTCTGGGAGCATGAGGTACTGTGGCCAGGAATGGGGAGGGTGCCTTAGGTACCCATGTACAGACAACCAAGAAGCCATGCTGCAGGTCAAATGGCCCAGAGAGAAAGGAAGAGGCCCTCCTGGAACAGGGCTCAAGGACAGGCTCATGGGAGAGACTGCAGCTTCTCAAGGAATGGAAATTCTGAGATGTGGGTAGAACACAAGGAGAAGGTAGAGCCCCGTGAATCAAAGATGAGGCTGGGGGATTACCTTTGTCAAGCTACTGAGAGATGTCAAATGAGCTCTGTCAGGCCCTGCCCATTAGATCTAACAAATGCAGGTGGTGGGCGAATCTGATGAGTGGATCACATGGAGTGACAGGAAGAGACCAGGAGGCCATGTCTAGAGGAGCTGCGGTGAACAAACACAGGGTTTTAGAATCATGGCTAGGAGAGGAGGATACCAGGAACAGATGAGGGGTGTGGGTCGAAGGTAGCTCCAGGGTAGGATTCTGGGACAGACAACACACTGCAAACACCATATAAACCTCATTGCCACGACAGGTGTGGAGAACCAGCAAAGCCTGTGGCGTCCGTGCCACGAACAAGTCCGATCTCAGTGGGACCTCCAATTGTGGCAGCCGCGCCATGAGCAATCCAAGGTATTGGGAAATGAAAGACAAGACATCCAACCATTTGTGCTAAGAGAATGCATCTGTCACCTTTATCGCCAGAAAATACGTGTGTGTGTGTGTGTGTGTGTGTGTGTGTGTGTGTGTCTTTATTGCAAGTGCTAAGAGATCTCTCTCTCTGCAAAGAGGAGCAGGCTTATACACAGACTTACAGCACAGTGGAGGAAACCTCAGGTGTAAGAGCTCGTGTTTTCCTCGTGCTAGATGTTGATGTCAGGTGGGCAAGGCCGGGACTGTAGGCCAGGACTAGAGAGCAGGATGCACCTGTGCCTGTCAGCTGACAGGCAATGCACAGAAATCCATGGGAGCTGGGACCCAACAACACAGCGGGGTGTGAATATAACAAAAAGACAGCTCGTGTGTCTAATTTCCAGCCAGTCTTTCCATCAGAACTTTGATGTTTTCTATCTGCCGTCCCTCTACTTGGATGCTCTTCAGTACCTGGTAGGCTTCACACTCATTTCCGTTTTGTGATTAGACCTAAAATGGAGCCTTTTTCAAGTGGCGATGAGAGACCCAGCATTAAACAGCCAGAAATCTCAAGCCATCATCAGAGAATGAGAGTGTGGGGGCGAGGGAGAAGAATTACGAGAGAGGGAAATGGGAGGGAAGAGGAGAAGGGGGTAGAGAGGGGAAGTGCGATGGGGAGTAGTCATGATGAATCAGGGGGAAGGAGAGGGAAGAATGGGAACGGAGAAGGACCGGAAGGAAGAAGGAGAGAAAAGGAAGAGGGTAGACAAAGGAGGCCGGGGCACAGCTCAATAGTGGAGCACAGAAAGGCTCTCAATTCAATCCTCAGTACTGCAAAAGTAAAAAAAAAAAAATTAAGTGACTAAGTTGTCTCATAGTTTGAATTAAATGAGAAAAGGGGGAAGCAGATGAGAAAAGACAGGAGAGGCCACTTTAAACCAGGGGGAGAAGGAGAGCAAAGGGGAGAGAGTAGGAGAGAGGCAGGGTAGTCACGTTAAAGTAGGGAGCTGTCTGGACCAACGTCAGGCTTGTGTTTGCCTGACTGAGTCCAGACAAGAGGTGAGGGAGGCTGTGGCCAGTGCTCACGGGGGCAGAAGGCAGCTGTGAGAACAGCTGTAGAAGGAGACGGTGGACTTGGGAGAAGATCTCCCCAACCCATGGGGACCATGGAGCGTCCTGGCTGGTGGGGACAGGCTGTCCCTTCTGGAAGCCAGAACTAATAGGGGGTTCCCAGGCACTGAGGCTGAATGGACTATGGAAGGTGTGAGCCGTTCTGAGGAGCCACCTTTTAGGAACAGGGCAGTTGCAGAGTTCGATAATCAAATACTCAGGAATGTGGGCAAAGAAAGGACCAGGGGCTGGCAGGATGGCTCGGAGGATGCAAGTGTTTGCCGTGAAGCCTGGCAACCTGGGTTCAATCCGTGAAACCCAAGAGGAGCTGGAAGGAGAGAATGGAGTTTACAAGTTGTCCTCTGACCTGGCCACGCATCCAAGCCTACCCATCCATAGCACACACACAAACACCATAGTAAACTTAAATTTTTAAAAAAGGACCGTGGATTGGAATAGAAAAGTAAATTGGGACCAGATTTAAAAGGTCCCATGTACCATGGAGACTTTTCTTAATGTATACAAAGATTGTGAGTATGGCAACCATCTTCACATTTCTGAAGGCTCATTCTAGATAAAAGAAAAAGGACAATTGTGACAGACATTGAACTCTAAGAGCTAGGGATGTGGTTAAATTACTCAAACACTGATTTCTTTCCTTGAGATACTCATAGGACTGATCCCTCAAGAATCTGATACATGATTAGTTCAAAAAATGCTCCCCCCAAAGGAAAGTGGACTGTGTAAAAGTGGATTTTCACCATAAAATCCTCTCAACTTCCCTTATGTTTGGAAGGTTTTGTAATGAAGCCCTGGGGAATTTTGTCATCCTAGCTGATGTATGGATATTGCCTTGGAGGGAGCCAGGGAGCAGGGTTGAGTACCCAAGCATGACCCCAGCCAAGGGAGAAGCAGAGGTACTCGGGAGGGTAAACCAACACTGCAGCATTTGGACGGACAAAGGGGAGTGAGTGACATGCTGCCCCTCTGCCCGAGTTGCAAACTCGTAAAAGAGTTTTAATTATTTAGGGGATGGGGAGGGTGCTCAGGAACAAGAACCCTGAGTTCCCGACAGGCCTTGCTGCTGCCTCTGACTCCCAACCCTTGGAGGGTCCTAGCCTTTCTGTCTGTCTTCAAATTCACCACTTCGGAAAACTGATAAATGGTGGGAAGACTTGACAGACATCACCAGCCAGCATCCTGTGACCCCAAAGGAGAGAGACTTCAGGTCACTCCACCTACTGTGTCTGCACACACGCGCATATGTGTGCATGTGTGCGTGCGTGCATGTGTGTATGCGCACACGTGCATGTGTGTGTGTGTGCATGTGTGTGTGCATTCGTATGTGTGTGTGTGTGTGTGTGTGTGTGTGTGTGTGTGTGTGTGTGTGTCCTGCACCTCTCCCCTAGCTGGCAATCGCTCTGTTGTTGTTTTCAGCTGCTTTCTAGTGGCCGCTCCGTCAGCAGCCAGCGGCCTTCAGTCAGAAAACAGATTTCTCTGGAAGCCGCAGCCACAATAAGGCAAAATGAGTTCTGCTCAAGGACCTCAAACTGCTCCTCCAGGGACAGACGCCAGGGCTGCCGGCTCTCTTAAAAGGCAGCCACTGCAATCGCCTCTCCCTCCCTCCACCTGCGTCCTCGATGGCTATAATTTCAGCTCATTTCCTACAGCTTTGTCCTGGAGGCGGCTAGCCAGTCCCTCTTTGTCCCTCTCCCCTCCCTGTGGAGGGCAGTTTTCCGTTTCAGTAACGACGTGTGTGACTCATTTCTGGATTCTTGCGCTCGCCGCATCCACAGCCATGTAAAACAACATTCAGCACCAATCTTTTACTTGCCAAGGGTCTCTTGACTGTCTGCGAAGAACAGGGCATGAGTGCCTGCCTCTACTTCCCTGCAGATACCAATGCAAAGACATCCACATGGCAGAAATGCCTTTCCGTGTGGTGTCTGACTTCAGGAAGAGGCTCTCAGCTCTCCTGAAGACAGCATGTGGAGGTAGGGTTGGTGACCACACTGCCCCCTGCCCTCCCCCAAAAGACCCACCCAGCACACACCTCCCACACATACACAATATGACTGGCATTTCACTTTTTTTTAAAGAAGACTGGAGCCCTGGACAGTCCCTACCCTTCAGTCCCACAGGTTTCCCCATCACCTGGTTCATAAGCATAAGCTACGAAGTTAAACAAGCCTAGTTCAGATCCCAATTCATTCTCTGTGACTCAGTTTCCCCTACCTACCTCTGAAAGAGAGTGCTCATTTGGGGGATTATTGCAGGCAGTAAGTTAGGCTGCGCGCCAACGCTTTAGCCTCCAGCGCCGCGGCTAGTCCTGGTGCTCAGTACTCAGTACCCAGGTGTGGAAAATGCCCCCCCACTCATGATTAATATGCTGTGAATACTGACTGGCTGGCAGCTGAACCTCATGTGCTGTATTTTGTCTTCCTCGGTGGAAAACACGAGGGTTTTATTTTATTTATTTAGTATAAAACTTCAGTGGCATTGGCTGCTTCTCCTTTGGAGACAGAGCATAAGACACCAGCAAACATATGGGCATCACCTCTAGTAGAGCCTTTGAAGCCGAGGTCAAAGACCACACACACTGTGTGCAAATGCAGGCCGCCCCTGTGCCTGCTGAGGGGTGGCTCTTGTTTCTGCTTTGTTGCTTAAATCCTTGGGTCTCCAAGACTCTGCCTGTGCCTGCATCCTGTGTGCTATGCCGTGTGTGTGTGTGTGTGTGTGTGTGTGTGTGTGTGTGTGTGTGTGTAAGGCTTCGAGAGAGGACACTGCTACTCAGGGCACCAGGCGTCTGAGTGGAGGAAGAGACAAGCACAACAGAGCATGGGAGGGAAAGTCAGGGAACGAAACATGAGAATGAAAGCCGCTACGACTCCTCCGTGCCAAGACCTTCACGTGACCTCTTTCCCAATAGTCAACAGCTCTCACACAGAGCGGCAGAGAGTCTGTTATTCCTAAGTTCTCACGGGTTAGAGGCAGGGCTGAGAGTTGAACTTGCCGCCTACTGCAGGGATCTCCGGTGCAGCAAGGTTGTTTCTCTACAAGACAAACTCTTGGATGCACGGAGGCTGCTCAGCTCTGGCCACTTGCCGCTCTCTTCACCTGTATCTCGTAGAAACGGAAAGGTGTTAAAGGTGCAGTCAGCCTGCTCGCCTCTGTGGGGCTGGAAGGAGCACCAGGAGGGCCCTGCCTTGAATGTGAGTCTGAAGAGGGCTGGCATCTTCCTCTCCCCATCTTACCTTCCTAGGCTTCGAGAGGAGTTGTTCTCTGTGCCAACATGGAGCTGGAGCTGTGGGGAGAAAGAACAGCCTTGGGCTTAGACTTGAGGCTGGGTTCCACAGTGGAGTCCGGGTCTCCAGTACCTAGGATGTCTGAGGTGCTCAACTCAGGCTAGACTGCCTGTGTCTAGGGCAGGTTTCCACTAGGGCAGAGGAGCTGTGAGGTCCTGGGTGGTAAAGACTGAATGGTGTATTCCTAAAGCAGGGTGCCCCGGATGCCCCTTTGCTTTGGCAGAGGGGGGATCTCTCAGTCCACCCCCCCCCCCGCCCCCACCTAACACATCGCCAGTACAACCCAGAAGAGAACTGGAAATGAAACACAACAGATACCAAGGTACAGGCCAGCCTCCTGTGCTAGGGGGAGGACTTAGAGGGGGAGGCGCCCCAAAACCTCATTCCTGAAGGGGCCCCAGCTCCGAGAGGCCAGCAGGGGGCCCAGCCTGATGCTTAGGGTGGCTTTGAGTTAAACTGGGGCTGGCTGGAATGGGGTACTATTCTAAGGAAAGGACTCTGCTTGGAGGGACAGGGTGGGGACAAGTTACTCTGGGGAGTTGTGGGCCTGGTGTGGACCTTCCTGGGGACTAGAACTAGGGTTAGCACTCGATGGATAAGGCTTGCTTTGGTCACCCCACCCCACCATGTCCTTTGGCCACAAGGAGAATCTGTTTTCTGGGACTTGGTTACTTGGCCAAGAGCCTGGCTGTGGGCTGGGACCCAAGCTCTAAACTCCTAGACTATGCATCACTGAGTTAGCAAGCTGCGTCTAAGTGTAGAAGGGCCTGGTACCATCCCCTACCTGCCCTCCTCTTCAGAGCTGTTCTTTTCTTTTCCCTCTCTTTGTTGCTTGGTTTGGTTTCTGCGTCTCTGCGGTGGTTGGTAGTGGGGTGTCTACCTGCCTTGACACTCTGTGATGCTGCTCTACGCAGAGGGTTCTAGGAGCAGCCAGAGTGTTCCAGACCCTGAGGGAGCCTTGGAGCCCCTACTCCGTCTTTAGTGCCTGGTGTCGTGGAGGGATTGAGGTGGGTGTCTTCTATCACGGGCTCCTCTCTGCAGCAGGTCATGGCACAGTGGTGGCAGATCCTCTTGGGACTGTGGACAGTCGTGCCCACTGTGGCAGGAGACAAGGCGGTCAACGTCTGCATGAAAGCCAAGCACCACAAGCAAGAGCCTGGCCCGGAAGACAAGCTCTTCTTGGAGGTAGTGGGACCAGAGCTGGCCCCGGGGGCTAAGGTGGCTTCTTAGAAGTATTAGAGAAGGGATACAGGCAAGGTGGTCCCCGAACCCCATCAGCTCTGATCATTTGGTTCCTTAGTTGGGCTTTATTCATTCAGGATTTTGCTGCTCTGGCCACTTGGAACAGGCTATGTGATGATCCTGTTGGCTAACCATGGATCAATGCAAGCCTTCCTGCCAACATGTACCGGCTAGACACAGGGCTTACTTGTTTCCTTGTCGGTCTCCTAAAGGCAATTACAGGGCTATGGGAGGAGGAACATTTCATCTCTACGTTGTTCCTACCCATCATCATCATCCCGGGTTCCTGAGTCCCCCGGGACTTCTTTCTATTTGCTTTCCTGGATTTATTGCCTCCCTGGAGCCGACATCAGGAAACTATGTCCTGTGGCGGGAAGACAAAGAAGAGGTGGGGTCGGGGGTCAGGTGCCTCCCGTCCTTCAGGTGCATGTTGGCAGACACCAGGGTCCCTCCTCTACAGAGGTGCTCAAGGTGTCCCCTCTCCTGACACCCTCCTGCCCAAGACCCTCAACCCTGCGGCCTCTCCCTCCTCCTCCTCCAGTGCAGTCCCTGGAAGGACAATGCCTGCTGCACCTTCTCCACGAGCTGGGAAGCCCACCTTGACGAGCTCTCGTCCTTTAACTTCAGCATGATGCACTGCGGGCTGCTGACCCCCGGCTGTCACAAACACTTCATCCAGGCCGTCTGCCTTCACGAGTGCTCCCCTAACCTGGGGCCTTGGATCCAGCTGGTGAGGGGGCGGGAGGCAAACCCACGAGGCAGCCTTCCACTAACCAAACAAACGCTGGCACCCACAGGAGGCCAGTAGGGATAAGGAGAGGGCTGTTCCTCCAGGGATAAGAGCGGAGCCAGAGGCCTGGGAAGGGATGAAGAGGGAGCCGCCTCTGTCCCTGAAGGATAGCCTGGGGGGGGACACTGTCTGATGTGGGCGGAGGGATGAACTTGGGCAGAATGAGATGTGTGAATTCTGTCTCCTGCCCAGGACAGATAGCCACTCAGCTTCATGGTTCTCATTTGTTCAATAATACTAACAATTTAACTAATGATGATGATGATAACCTACAGCTGGGAGATGGCTCAGTCATTAAGCACTTGCCACACAAGCGTGAACACCTGAACTCAATCCTCAGAACCCCTATGGAAAGCCAGGTGTGGAGGGTGAGCTGCTACAATCTCAGCCCTAGGGAGGCAGAGACAGGTGCGTTCCTGGGGCTTGCCAGCCGGCCTAGCCTGCTTGGTGAGCTCTGAGCCACTGAGAGACTCTCTCTAAACTAGCATGTGGCATGGATGGTGCCTGAATAACCACACTTGAGGTTGTCCTCCAGCCTACACACACACACACACACACACACAGAATGTACACACACTCTCACTCACAGAATGTACACACACACACACGTGCACACACACAAAAAGAATAGTGCTCAGGGACTTTATGAAGGATTAGGCGTCTCCCTCTTTGCATCTGCACCCAGGTGGTCCCGAACAGGCAGGAAGAGCGGGTTTGGCGCGTGCCTCTGTGCTGGGAGGATTGCGAAGAATGGTGGGAAGATTGCAGCTCATCCTACACTTGCAAATCCGACTGGCTTAGTGGCCCGGACTCAAGTCGAGGTGAATGCACTGACCCGGCCCTGGGGGGCTGTTAACCCGGGCAAGGATGCAAACCTTCCTACATCCCCCCACGAGGATGGGGGCGCGGGAGGGAAGGGACGATGGGAAATGGGGACACCACCCTCCACCCCCCGCAGAGAAGAGCTGCCCGGTACCGGCGCCCTGCCGCCCTTTCTCGGATTACTTCCCCACCCCAGCCGATCTGTGTGAGAAGATCTGGAGCAACACGTTCAAGGCCAGCCCCGAGCGCAGGAATAGTGGGCGGTGTCTGCAGAAGTGGTTCGAGCCCGCCCAGGGCAACCCCAATGTGGACGCGGCCCTCCACTTTGCCAACTCGGCCTCAGCCCCCCGGGAGATTTCTTACGCCCTCACATCCTTCTCTCTGTGCCTGCTGCTCCATTCCTGAGGGTCCCTTCTCCTACCCACATTCCTTGACTCTTCTGAGCCTCGGCCATCCATCTCCTCCCTCAGGCTGTTCAGGGTGGGGAGCAGACTGGTGCCTGAACTTGACATGCCTCCCAGGGTCCCCCTCTGCTGCTTGGCTCTGCCTCTACTGGCCCGGGTGGCGGCTGGTACCCAGCAGCCTAAGGTGACTGTTTTTCCTGCCGTTAGGAGTGGGCACTGCTATAGGACTCCGGGCACTTGCTATCGTGTGACAGAGACAACGCTGACAGTCAAGTTTCCTGCCCTATTGTGGTACCTTCAATAAAATGACAGGGAAACTCTCCATGCGCTCTCGTCCCACGGGTACCAACCCAAGGTGTATAAAGAGGGAGCTGATTTGTCCTCATTAAGATTTTAATTTCCTTGATTACTAATGGGGATCAGGATTTTTAATATTAATTGGCCATTTGGAATGTGGTACTCCCACACTCTGTGGGGGGGGGGAGTGCACATGCGTGCTCATACCTACCGTCCCTCTTTTCTCCAAAAAGACTCTCACCCAGGTCAGCCTGGAACTCAAGGATGGCCTTACACTTCTGGTCTCCTTGCCTCCATCTTGTAGTTGCTGGGATCATACACATATGCCACCGTTAGTATTCAGACATTTGTACCGGCCTGCTTTGGGGTTCTGACAGGATACACCCTCAGCTGCAGCCACTGAGAGCACCACCTATGCCTATTCATTCTCTGTCTGTCTGTCTGTCTGTCTGTCTGTCTCTGTCTCTCTGTTCTCTCTCTCTCCCTCTCTCTCTCTGCCCCTCTTTCCTCTCTCCTGCTGCACCTGTCCCCAGAGGTCAGTCTCTCCCCTCCCCTTTCCCCTTTTTACAATCCTTTCCCCTTAATAAAAAAAAAAAAAACCCTGCTGGAACTCTGTCGAATGGTGTCTTTCTCAAGCTGGATTTTTAAAAATTACAACAGCCACTACCCCTGGTTTCATGCTGTGCTCTGGAGCTAACTCAGGATCCTGAACAAGCTATACAAGCACTCTAGCCATGCTCTAGCCCCCTCTTCCTCTTATTCCACAGCCATAGCATTCTAGTATTGAATTTTGGACACTGGAGTTCCAAGCTGACTTTTCTGCTCTCTGATAGTGTCTTTTCCCCCAGTGTTGAGGACTGAACCTAGGGTCTAAGCTTGCTAAGCTCATGCTCCACCCCTGAGCTAAATCCCCAACCCCAAGGCCTTTGCACATGCTCTCTAACACTTGATAATCCTTTTGGATTTTCCCCCTGTGGAGAGGAGTGAGGTGTTGGACCAGATGATTTAGTCTGCAGAAAAGAAAGGAAACGAGGAAAAGTCAGGGGCCCCATTTACTAGATCATGCAAAGAGTAGTATCCAGACAGAAGTACTGTAGAAGGGCCACTGGCTTCAAGTCTTTCCTATGAGTAGGCTCACAGCACCCATCTGAGCTAGGAATCTTCTAGAGCCTGAAGCTGAGCCCTCCCAGAACTAGACAGTGACTTCCCTGGCACTTTGTGTGAGTGTGCGTGTCAGAGTGTGTGCATGTGTGTGCGTGTGTGTGCACCTGTGTGAGTATGTGGTGTGTGCATGAGTGTGATTGTGTGTGCGTGTGCATGTGTGAGTCTGTGTGTGAGTGTGCATGTGTGGGGGGGCAAAGTGACAGAGCAGGTGATTTTTCTCAAGACTGCTGATTCTTGACTGCTCATCAGACTTCCCTGTCACCTTGTATGTATGTGTGTGGCAAAGGGACAGAGCAGGTAATTTTCTCAAGACTGCTGATTCTTGACTGAAACAAACTCTGCTCATCAATAAACTCAGCCTGCATTCTTCTTCTTCTGCTTGCTTACTCGTGAAACAGATGTGTCCCCGGGAGAATGCTAGAACAGCAAAACCAAGTGTGGAGCAGGAATAGGGGTGACTGTCAGCAATAATGGGAACAAACTTGTACATAGGATGTCTAGAAGGAAGGAGGCAGCAAGACGGGTGTTGAGAGGGCCTCCCTGAAGCCAGGCTTGAATTCCAACAGAGAACAGAAAAAGGATGTTCTCAAAGCCCCCTGAGGCTCCAAGGCAGAGGCTCCAAGGAGCAGAGCTGCCAACGGCTTATAAATGAGTAAGCCCGTACACCTTCAAAACTCCACGCAGGGAGCCAGGCGTGGTGGCATGCCCCATGGAGTCTGAGGCAGAAGGATTGCTGCAAGTTTGAAGCTAGCCAACATATAATACAGGAACACCCCACCCCCATCTTTCTCTTCACAGTGGAGGGCCATAGGGAATCTGAGGGTGTCTTGCTCACACAGTAAAGAGCTTATGATTTTTAAAGTGGTTTTAGTTGTAAGTGTAAAACTCACCAAAGCAGAGTTAAAATTGAGGTTCTGTTAGTCAGAATCCACCGGCCACTTGCCGCACAGGAAGGGCTCTCTAAGTGTGCAACACACAAGGTCTTCCACTCCAGTCTTACGGAAGCCTTGATGCAAGGCCCTTCCTCCGGTTTTCAGATTAGAGCACGGCCAAGGTATGTTTGAAACCAGTCAGGTCTAACTCCCAGCTCCAGCAGACCCTAGACTCAGCTGATTCCACAACTTTAGCCTACACTAATCCTAGCCAATCCCACCCCCCACCCCTGTTTCCAGCGGACCAACTGCCCATCTCCAGCTGATCCCCAGTACAGTCAACACCCATCTCCCCCTGGTCCCCGTCTCCAGAGTTTGCACTGAACAGCCTGGCCCACGGTGGCATGGAGTGGAGCTGAAGTCAATAAGGAAACGAGGGCAGAGGTGAGGCTGGTAACCAGGGAGAGCTCAATAAGGAAACGAGGGCAGAGGTGAGGCTGGTAACCAGGGAGAGCTCAATAAGGAAACGAGGGCAGAGGTGAGGCTGGTAACCAGGGAGAGCTCAATAAGGAAATGAGGGTAGAGGTGAGGCTGGTAACCAGGGAGAGCTCAATAAGGAAACGAGGGTAGAGGTGAGGCTGGTAACCAGGGAGAGCTCAATAAGGAAACGAGGGTAGAGGTGAGGCTGGTAAACCTGGAGAGCTCATGCTGGCTAGAGAGACAGGTTCCCGCCCCCTTTTGCTTTTGGGATAAGTGGTTTCATGAAAAGAGAAGTGATCTGTTGAGTTTCTAATTGTTTTGACCAGAGCTAACACATATGGGCCCAAGGACCTCTGACACATAGTTTAGAGCCCCAGACACCCCCACCTTATCCACCGTGACTGTGGCTGAGAAGTACCCACTCGTAACCGTTTTGCTACACAAAGTTAATTTGTAAACTGATTTTTCTCTTCTATACATTCAGACTACCTTTTTACACTCGTTCTGATAGTTTCTTGAATTCATCTTCTAATCTTTTTAGTTTCAGCAATCCATTCTTTAATTATTTCCAAGAGATGTTTTCCATTCCCTTGTTTTTCATATTCCACTGTTTTGGGTTTTGTGGATGTAATACCTTCTCTAGTCTCACTGAAGACCTAATTAAATTTTTTTCAAAAGCTTGTTTCTAGTCTCTAAGAGATGCACATCCCCCAAGGTCACTCTGTTCTGTTCTCTGATGTTTTGCCTGCACAGCTGGTTTCCCAAGTCTGCATGTAAGAATGAGGGCTAGGTTCATTCTGTAGAGTTGGCTTGGTTTCCTGTGTGTTTGTCTGTATGCTGCTGGAAAGTTCTGGATGTGGGGCAGGGATGTTCAGTGGAAGACTCTGCTTCAGAGAATGGAGAGCTCTGAAGCCCACTCGGAGGAGTCCCGGCAAAGGCTGTTTATTCAGGGCACACTATTAAGAGAGCTACGGCTAAGCCGGGCGTTGGTGGGGCATGCCTTTAATCCCAGCACTTGGGAGGCAGAGGCAAGCAGATCTCTGTGAGTTCCAGACCAGCCTGGTCTACCGAGCAAGTTCCAGGGCAGCCTCCAAAACAATACAGAGAAACCCTGTCTTGAAAAACCAAGAGAGAGAGAGAGAGAGAGAGAGAGAGAGAGAGAGAGAGAGAGAGAGAGAGAGAGAGAGAGAGAGAGAGAGAGCACTGTGGCTAATAATAACTAATAATGGCATTTTGGCAGAGAATAAAGGTAGGGAAGAAGGCTTTGGGTTCTCACTGAAATGTGTGCCATTGCTGGACATGAGGTGGTTTGAGCCCCATATGACTGGTAAAATAGTATTTGGTTTTTAACCACTTGGTTCCAATTGGAATCATGGATTTAAAAAGCAGGGTAGGGGCTTGAGAGATGACCCAATGCCCAAGACCACTCACCTCACAATCATGGGACCAGAATGCATACCCTGCCACCCACATAACAAGCCAGGCACCCCCCAAAGCACCTTTAATCCTGGCTCATAGGGAGCCAAAACCCTTTTCCAGACTCCGTATATTCTCACATGTGCACATGGGCTCATATACCCAGCCCCACTCACACAAATAATTTAAAGGTAGGAAGCTTACAGTTAGTTATTCATCCAGGTCTTGCCATTTGTGTGACAGGAATGAAGATATTCTGAAGAAACCCTGGTGACCATCTCCTTATCGGACTACTGAAACTGGTCCTCGACGAGGTGGAATTTCCCTAGAAATAGGATGCTGGGAGGAAAAAAAACAGTCAGGAACCTGGTGCCAGTCACAGGAACTTGTCTCCTGAGAGGAAATGTCACACCATTCTTAGCAGACCACCTTATGGGGAAGACTGGAGTGGAGACAAGCGTGTGTGGGTCTACTCCTTGACCATGACTTCGTGGTCACGCATATTTCTTGCTCTCTGTCTAAACCTAAACCTCATGCCTGGCCATCAAAGGTGGACGTGACCGAGAGGCGTTACTGGACCCCCTTCTCTTCCGATACGGGCACACTGAGTCCGTCTTCTCCCAATGTCTTCGACTACATCTTGTCTCCTTACGTGGCTGGGTGAGGAAGCAGCAGGATTCCTGTCCTTGGAAATGGATATTTTAATGAAAGGTAGCGAAAAAATGTAAGAGAACAGTCAAAAACAATCTCGAGCTATACACAAGGCATGTGTTAGAAAAAGGAGCCCAGGGGACCCTGCGAGGGCGAAGAGGAGCCAGCTCTGGGGTGTGTAGTTGGGACAAACGGGGAGTTCAGATAAAGCAAGGGAAGAGAAGACAGGCGGAGGATGAATCCACGGCTGGGCAAGGTTCATGGGGGCATCGTGCTTTCCCTATGGGGACAGACAAAGACAGAAAATATTTAAAAGGAGTCTCAGAATGAAATGCTTCAGATATCGATCTCTGACTCAGTTAGCGCCAGGCTGTAACCATCTGCTGAGCTTAGACACTCAAAACTCTGGGCCCTTGGGAGCTTTCTGGCCACAGCGTAGGGT